CAGAAGATTAACCTTGGGCTATTGCACCTTCCCAGGTGGTAACCTCGTTTCTTGGAGAAGCAAAAAACAGAATGTGGTTGCAAGGTCTAGCACAGAAACCGAATTTAGAGCGATGGCACTCGGGATATGTGAATTACTATGGCTAAGGATAATCTTGGAAGATCTGAGAATCATATGGGAAGGTCCAATGAAGCTTTGCTGTGATAATAAATCAGCCATCAATATTGCACACAATCCTGTGCAACATGACCGCACAAAACACATTGAAGTGGACAGGCATTTTATTAAAGAGAAGTTGGATAGTGGCCTCATTTGTACTCCTTTTGTTCCTATTGGAGAACAGCTAGCAGACGTGCTTACCAAAGGATTGCCTGGTACCGTTTTTCAGAGAATAACCAGCAAGCTTGGAATGGATGACATCCATTCACCAGCTTAAGGGGGAGTGTGGGAAAATACGATTCTTTCCTTGTATAAGGAAATTGTGTACAGGCTGTTAATAGCTAAGGATTTATTAGTTATTATAATCCCTGATTTCTAGGGATCAGTTTTTTATATGTAATGATATGTATCTCCAGGATTAGTTAGTTTCCAAGAATAGCATTATTCTGAAGTACATATAATAGTGCATTCCCAATTCTTTAATCAATTTGATTCAATTACCAATTTCAGTGATTTTGTCAACCAGCATAAATTAATACAAACTAAATCTCAGAAGTTACAAAGACTGCAATCAGAAAATAACATTGCATACTCCTAGTCAACTCGAATTATGTTCTCCAAGTCTGGCTATTCAACCATCACTTTAACAGAATATTCGAAGTCAAAATCTGTTATATAAGCTCTCTTGATGCCGGGGGAACTGAGGACACCAAAAATTTGTATTTGTTTCATATAAGCATAAAGAGTGTGAAATGCAGAGAGGTGTTCCATTCAGATTTCAGACACAATAACATCAAAGTCCATATGGAGGCAGACAACGTGTCATTCTACTAACTTGGAGCAAAATATTCTCTTCTTAAATTTAGAAAGCACGGTCCTAAATATCTCATATTCCATTCTACCAAGAAGACCCTTAGAGCCTCTTTTAACACAACAAGTTGACATTAAACTTGCTTCTTGTCTAATTTGTGAAAGAGGAAGGATGAGTCATCGATGAGTCGTCCTATTATCCTTTTTCTCCTTATCTCCTCTTTACTAAACGGAGGAAGTTTGTTCCTTCCTTCCTATCTTCCCTCCACCCCTCCCTCTTCCTTCCTATCAAGGTTGTTAGGATCGGGATTCTATGTAGGATCGATGATGGGTCCATAGGATCAGAATCGTAGGATCGGATCGGTAAGATTCTATAAAAGTAATAGAAATGTAACTCAAATTAACTTTCTAAATCAAATATTTTCGATTTAAGTAGAGGATAAGGCTAAATAACCAAATGAGATACTCTAGCAAAATCAATTAACAATAAAAGATACTAAGACACATGACAAACACTTGAAATCAAATTCTCGATGTCAACGAAAACATCAGCATAACAATTAAGCATAATCTCACAAAAGAAATTAAAGTAAAGCCTAAACAAATAGAAAAAAGGGAACAGAGAAGTAGATAGAGAAAAGTACAATTTAGTTGCCTAATTGTCTGAATAATTTAGTTGAAAAGTTTACTTTTTGGTTAAAAAAAGGAACATAACAGAGATGGAAAGAACATTTAAAAAAAAAAAAAAAATGAAGTCTCTTTTTGTTTTTGTTTCAGAATGGACAAAGAATAGGCAAAAATATAGAACTCTTATTTGTTCTTGTACTGAAAAAGAAAGAAGAAAAGAGAAATTAATAAGAATAAAACAAAACAGAGGAAATTTCTTAAGTTTTGAACCATGCCTTTGAAATTCAGAGTTGGATCATCTCTACATTTGAACTTTGGGTCTTTGATTTTGTTTTTATTTTTAATTTTTTAATGTAATTAGGCTAAAGAGTTGGACTTCATATTTAAAATGATTAAATTTATTTGTCCAAAATGAATTGTAGGCGCAAATAAATCTAGAAGAAGAACAAAATAATACTAATTTAGTAGAATCACTAGGATCGTGCGAAACTTTCTACGATCCTACTTCCGATTCTACAAATCCTACTCAGATTCTACTTCCCAGCGATTTTGAATGACATCAGATAGGTTTGTCAATTTGGGATCGTAGAATCATACAATTCTACCATTCGAATCGGGATTTTAACAACCATGATTCCTATCAATCGAATCATTATTCACAAATATCTAGTCCTCGTATCTTTTTCAACATGGTATCAAAGCAAAAATTCATTAAAAACATGATTTTATTGAATTATAAAGTTAAAACTTGCATATTAGTTCATTTGACTATGTTTCTTAGAGTTGAAAAAATTTCTTGGTCGCGACAACCAATACCCGTTACATAACTCCTACTACGGCCCAAAACCGTGGCAGGCGACATCTTGGCTGCGATCACGGTTTGAAACTTTAGTAAATATCCAGTTAACCCCTCCCAACACCCTAAACTAGCAAGGCTAACACTAAATGATAACCTTTTAATCTTACCAATAGAATTTTTTTATTTTTTTTAATAAGTAAGATTTCTTACCAATAGAAAATGAAATAGAGAATTCGACTACCCATCTATCCTAACAATATCAAATCCCCTAAATTCCCTAATTATACCCCAAAAACAAACAAAGAAATAAAAAATATATTTTCCCTTTAGCTGAACTAAAAAATAATTTCTATCAAAATAACTCATAAAAGCCACACTATTAAATGGGTACTGGGATGTGCAAACTAGGTACACCGTTACATTTGGTATTAATTGCACAAAGAGACTACGCTTATACTCAAACGCACCCCTCAGTCTCAAACTGATATTCAAGTATGGTAGCACTCTACCAAACCATAGCCCTACACCAAGCAGTAACCCTACAATGCAACTTAGAACAAAGCATTAAACCATAACCCGTTGAATCACCATCATCATTTTCAATATTATCATCATCATTCTTGCCTTAATCCCTTAATCCCATATGAATGGAGTAAGTCACATGAATTGTCTCTCTTCAATATTTTCTATTACATGACATATCATTTACTATATTTAACCTTTTAATGTCATTTTTAATAATAAGTTGAATGTTAGATAAATACTTTGTACTAACTCAATGATATATCAAGCCATATCATCCATTAGTTAACAAGTCACTATGTCCTTTTTAGTTACTAGACCCATGTTCTTCTATACCTACCTCTCTAATCCATGCAATATACCCAACTTGAATCAAATTACTCGTTCCCAGTGCATCCATAATTATTCTTCACTCAAACTCAGGCCCGGACCTAGGACCAATTTTTTATATTTTTATTTTATACTTTAAATTTTTTAAAATTTATGAAGATGCCCCCACTAAATTATTTTTTTTTGCATTTTATATTTCAAATTTTTGAAATTTTTTTAATTTGTCCCCACTAATATTACAATTCGCCCCTACTGAATTTTTTTTTTTTTTTTGGCATTTTATAGTTTAAATTTTTTATGAAAAAAACTCTATTAAAATTACAAAAATAAACTTACTATATAAATTTGTCTTCACAAATTAAAAGACCACTTCCCTTATAAATATCTAAGTCCCATCACTACTCAAGTTGCAACTTAGGCGGACTAATCTAGCCCAACCCAAACTCAACCAGAAATTTTAAAATTTGGACTTTAAATTCATAAATCGGGCTCAGGTTCGGATTGGACTTTGTCAAAACCCAAACATGTTTAGGTTTGGGCTCGGGCTCGACCCGAACCCAATCCAAAACCCAAAATAAAAAAAAATAAAAACTAACTCCAGAAAAAAAAAATTATTATCTCCTCCCTCTTCTTTCTCTCTCTCTCTTTCTCTTGGCTGCCGCCGCCGCCATTCCCTCTGCTGCCGTCGCCTCTCTCTGCCGCCGTCCCTCCCCTCAGCCGCTGGTCCACCGCCGCCGCCGTCCCTCCACCTCTTCCGCTGATCCACCGCCGCCGCCGTCCCTTCCAAAAATTAAAACAAAACCCATACATATAAGGTAGCAGTTGCAGAGACAGAGGGGGGCAAGCTTGAGAGTTGAGAGACAGCGGCTGAAGCTTGCGAACGGCGAACCCGAACTGGAACGGCGGGCGATGGAAACTGAAAGATATGGGTTTTGATTTTTTGAACATTCTGAAATGATATGCCGATATGGGTTTTGATATAGGTAAAAGGTTTTGAACTTTTGATTCTCGCAGACAGACAGATAAACTGAAATATATGGGTTTTGAACTTCTGATTCTTGTAGATTTTGTAGGTTGCAGTTGCAGTTGCAGAGAGAGAGAGAGGGGGGGAGGGGGGGGGGGGGGGGGGGGGTAAGTTCAGAGTCGTGAACGAGAATAGAGATGGAAACGATTGGGAGGCTGAAATGATTAAAATATTTTGTTTTTTTGGTTTAGAGTTATTAATAATATAATTAAATATATATATATATATATATATATTACTAATAATATAATCATAGATATACGTATATAAATTTTTGAAAAAACAAAAAAAAACAAAACAAAGCTCTAAACCCGGGAAACCCGGCCACACAAAACATTCTAATCGGGTTAAAATCATAACTCAAGTTGAATATAATTCGTGCTGGTTCAACCCCGTCTAATTTCGGATTGAGATTGGATTGACACTGGCTTGGATTGGGACATCCTTACTTTCAGCCTCAATTAGTGCCAAGTGTCCAAGACCACACTTGAATTTCAAATTTTAAGGGCCCCAACATCCAATTTGACTAAAACTAAAGGTGTTTACTCCCCTTGCAAGCACTACATTCTGAGGCGCCGCCAGTTCTATGCTTCCAAACGCAATGGAATAGTATGGTAACAAAAAAATTCATATAATTTCAAGTTCACAAGAAAGACAAAACACAAAAATTAGGAGGAAAAAAAAACAATAATAATAGAAAAGTGTATGAATCTGGTGAATTTGACTCACCGGAAGGTAACCTATGACAGGGAGGTTCTTGCAAGGAGGAGTCTCATCGTGAACCGGAGCGAAGTTACCGGAGAGGTAGTGTTGAGGCTGTGAAGTGTCATACATTAGCTTCACAATCAGCCTCTCGAACCAGTCGATCGCTTTCGAGGTCCGTCCTTTGCTCGGCTTCGGCTCCACCGCCACAACTCCGCCATCCTTTCGCTCCTCCTCCACCTCCTTCTTCCCCATTACTCTCTCTCTGTCAAAATTTATCTCTCCAAACACTCTCGTCTCTTTCTTCTGTATGATGGTGTTGGCGTGTCTGTTAAAAATAAGTGTGTGATCACTTATTTTTGGTGCTGCCAGCCACGTTCTCATTTTCCACCATTCCTTAGGTCATTGCTCCTTCATTTAAAGTACACATATTCTCATTGCTACTAAATTCAATAATCATAGTCCACATTATGCTTCTTCATCCGGTTACCCATGTCGACTTTGTTTTCCACGTTCAGTACTGTGTGGTCACGGTTAGGAAGCGTCTTCTATAAGCTATCTTTGATGACGTCTCCGGTCAATGTTATTGGAATCTGATGTTTTCAACTTCCACGCCACAAATTTATTCAAAGCCTTTTGTCGGTTGCATTGGTTCATTACATTGGTCTGTTCCGTACGCCACATCTATGAACCTCTTCGTTCTTTTGAAGAAGCAATCTTTAATACCAATAATATATATATATATATATATATATATATATATATAATTTGAACCTAAACAATATATATAAAAATTAAAACATTGATTCATTATATTTCTATTCAGTACATTCAGAATAATTTTTTAAATTATTCATTACTATTTCACATAAAAAAAATAAAAAAATTCATGATAACAGTGAATCTGTGATTTCATTGATTTGGGTTGTAAATAAAAACAAATTCTAAACAAACTAAATTTTGAAAGAACAACCCCTAAAATAATTTTGATATTCATAATTAATAATTTTTTAATTAAAATTATAATATCAAATAATAATTGTAAATTTAGATGATAAAAAATAAAAAATCAGATTACTTGTTTGCCACTTGCAATACAACTAACTATGTCTCTTGTAAATGATTGTTACGCTTACTTTGTTTGGATTGTGAAAAATATTAAAGATTGAGGATGTAATGGAAACAATTCATTTGTTTGTGGTAAAGTCAAAAGTGTGATAACATATCTTGATGAAATATATATATATATTTTTAGAAAGTGAGAAATAATATAATATTTTAAAAAAAATGAAAAAAAAATATCATAATTTATGGATAAATGATAAATTGATAAATATATTATAGATATTTATAATCGTGTCATGATTATATTCTTTTATTTTGTTTTTTTTTTTTGGTGTAAAATCGTTATATATATATATATAATATATTCAAATTTTAGAGGAAATAATTATATAAATATGAAAATATTTTCTTATAAAATCTAAAAGATTAAAAGTTGAGTGGAGGCAGTTGCCTCCACTTGTCTCTTTGTGGCTACGCCACTCGAGCCATGCATTATTGATCAGTTTTGTCGCGGGAAGAAGTGCAAAGCTAATGCGGTCCCATCAAAAGGCTGGTTGCATCAAGCGCAGTTGTCTTATGAGAAAACAAAAAGAAAAACATTTTAATTTATTATTTCTACAACAAATAAATAAAAGTTCATTTATTTATTAACAAGTGGACATGTTAACTAGTATTTACTAAAAGAGACTAACGTACTTACAAATATTGTATCATCATGAGATTGGATATGTTAAGAGTTATTTTCCCTGTCAATCTACCTGAGGACAAATTCCTAATTCCAAATTGAATAATTTAATCAAAAAATGATTAGTGATAAAATCAAGAAAAGTAACTTACCAAAAAAAGAAAAAGAAAAAAAAATCAAGAAAAGTTATATATATGCACTAGTAATTTGAGGCCATAAACATACAAGGCTATGATCCTAGGGGAATCGTAACCGTTGTAGCTACAGTTGAGGCCAACCCACACGTAATCTTGAGGTGGCACATGGATCTCCTTGCCAGTTTCTTGTCACTTGATGGATTGACTTTATGCTCATCATAGCAGCAACTAATATTTCAAAATGAAAGCATGCATATGAGAGAGTTAATTAGAACATGAGGAAGAATGAAAAAACATCAAAGGTAATTGGAAAGAACATGATTACCATCTTTGTCATCTTTTTGCGAGTATAGAAACTGTAGTATAAGGAATCGTTGCTAACATTTGGTGTGATGGCAGAGCTCATACTTTAGATGGTGGCTGGTACAGACCGTCCGATTCATTATCGAATCCAATGTTGGGTACTTAACTTTGTGTAGTTCTGGCTATATGGCCTCTCCACACACGATCATAAACATCATCTTTGTGTCCGAGAGACATTAGCACCACAGGCATGACTCATGAGCATATATATAAATATATCAAGTACTACAGAAATTCAAATGAAGGAGAAACTTAATTGATTCTGCCTAGCTAGTTAATTTCTAAATTTAGATATGAAAGACCAACCTGATATTTTCACTACATAGTCATCTCTTGTTGAACCCAAATCTTGACGCAACCAGAAATCTAGTGGTACATAGAATTATTCAAAGGCCTTAACTCCAATGCTGAGATGAAAGGTGTTCCATGGCCTGTGTTTACAAGACAAAGATTCATATAATCTGTAGTGGGAACATGTATGATCTCCTTCCTCCAAGTAGAGGTTGAATCGTAGATTGTCAGTGTTTACCAGAAATTAACTCCAATGTGCAGATCGAAAATCGGTGGCTGCTTTTGATCATCATAATTTCCATACAAGAACCCGCTCTTATCAAATATTTATTACCTCTCCCTCCTTGAGGTCTTAGTGTATAACAGTTTCTGGTTCCTTCAGGAAAGCTTCTAACATTCAGAAACTGTTGTCCGCCTGAGTCAGTAAAAAATTCAGATGATATAGGCATGCTCAAACCAGTCTTCACAAAGTTTGCATCTGAACTATAATGTAGTCCTGTTGTCGTGTCAGTGTAGCTCCAAGCTTCGCTTATCCCACAATCTATGCTTATGAATCCTGCAAGAGATTTGTTGGAGTTAATTTGGAAATTGAGCAGTGCTATGAACAGTTGCGCAAACGATTAGGGAGAGAGAGAGTGAAACTTGCATGCCAACTTTACACCCACAATTTTCTACTTTTGAAGGTGAAAAAGTATCACTAAATTATGTCCTTTAGTAGTCTAGAATGGTGCGTCTTGTTTTGTTTTGTTAGATGTAAGAAAACCACTTGAAGCTTTGTTTATTTCAACGATTTTTTTTTTTTTTTAAGTAGGACGATTTACAAGTAAAGCCATTGTTTTCCCTCTTATTTTCTGTTATTTGATTACAATCGCTAAAATGTTTTTCAAATCCAAGTCTAGAACTGTAACAAATGCAAAATCAATTCGTAGACAGTTAAAAAAAATACAGTTTGACATTTTATCAAACAATTAGTAGTCAATTCAGATGCACACAAAATTCACCAATCATGAGTAAGCAAGAACAATGAACACCCAAACCCCATAACAAACCGTAACCTTCGTTACCAAAATTTCAAAATCCACCATCAATAAGCAAGCACTCTTCACAGGATCTCTCCCTCCCACTAGCTTCGGTTTAGAGATACTTCACAACGTCGATCGATTTAAAAGTTGGAAAAATGACATAACTTTAAGTGAAATTGGATCTGGATGTCATTTTCAGGCCATTAGTGAAAAGGGTGAAGTGTAAAAAAAAATTCCTGTACTATGGATATTGTGCAAAAACAAGTCCGTGTGTAACATAAAACACCTCTCTACATTTAATTTGGTGCAAATACTGTATGTCTACGTAAAAAGATTATAATACCCTTTTGCCAGTAAAATGAAATAATACTTAAAAAATAAAGTAAAGTAAAATTACCATTTTAGACAAGGACACATGTCTTTCAAACCTAATTGGTTAGGTGGCCCAATAGAAAAAAAAAAAACATGTGTACAAAAAATTTATGTAAGGAAAATACTTCCATCCTCCTTGTTGTCGTGGCCACTTGTTGTTACGCCACGTGTCCAATACTAAAAATGGGCATTGCCCATTTTTGCGAGTTAAACCCGCTTCCCCTTGTCAGTCTCCTATCTTCCATTGGCCTCAGCCTCTGCCTTTCCACTCTGTCTCCCACCACCATCTTATGCTTTACCACGACATAGACATAGAAGCTTCCACTCTTCAATTCCCTCTGTGGACGTGGTCTGGCCACGTCAGCAAGGGCCAAGTCAAACAGTCAACACTTTGACAAAGTCCACCTCAGCAAGGCATGTGATAGTCGATCATTGGGCCTCAATCTTAGCCTACATTCGGTCGATAGGCCTTGAATCTGATAGTCACAAATCATCGATCATAACCTCGATCCGAGTCGTTGTCGATCGACGGGCCTTGAACCTCGATCTGACCTTTTGACAATCTGTCAGTCGATGGGCCTTGAACCTCGATTTATTAATCACAAATCATTGATCGGGCCTTGAACCTTGATCCGAGTCACAAATTGTCGATTGACGGGCCTTGAACCTCGATCTGACCCTTGACAATCTGTCGATCGACGGGCCTTGAACCTTGATCCGACCTTCATAATCTGTCGATCGACGGCCTTGAACCTTGATCTGACCTTCACAATCTGTCGATCGACGGGCCTCGAACCTCAATCCAACTTTCACAATCTGTCGATTGACGGGCCTTGAACCTCGATTTGACACTGCCATGAACCGTCGATCGGTGGGCGTCGAACCTCGATCCAAGCAACGAAGAGTTATGATAGGGCTCTTCAAGCGACATTGGGACGCAGAAGGGATTTTGGAATGGAGGATGGAAAATTAGTAATGTCTTGTCCACTAAAGCAAAACTCAGTTTAAGGATAAGAGCAAAAGACAGCTGGAATAGTACAATTGCCTTTACAGCCTGCCATTTTTGGATTATTCACCAGGAAAGGTACACTTGGCAGTGGATCCAAAAATGTAGGGATTAGGGCAACATGACCTAAAAAGGGAATGACCCTGACCCATTCTCAGTATGGAGGCCCAACAATGTACCACCTAGATGACCTAAGGCTATAAAAAGAAGGTAATGACGAAAAAAGAAGGTAGGAACTGACGGCAGCTTCTTCCCTACCATTGTTCCAATTCTCTGAGTGGACTGGTTTTCTCTCCCTTCTTCCACCTTTCTGCATTCCTCATATTGCTTAGTGATATATTCCCAGACCTCTATTCTTTGACTATTCAACCGACAAGAACTAGGTATCTATATTTGGCGACTTCACTAGGAATTATCCTAGCAAAACGATGAATCCAGATGAGG